TTAATAAAAATCCCTAATGAAGGGCCACAGTGTTGCCCATGTTAACCAACTTTTCTGCAAACCAATTATTATACTCGCCTGGGATAAACCCAAAAATTAAAATATCTACCCCCTTAAACGTGAAAAATTCTCTCTATCGACGCGGTACTTAACGACTGCAACACCACAATCAAATACAACCCCAGGTCACTGACGTGTTTTGTGTATTATACTATTTAAACAAGGTTTCAAAACTTTATAAAATAAAGAAAACATACTTGAAAAGAAAACTAAATACTGCTAGTATTTTAGGCAACGCACCATCCGAGTCGGTAAAAGGAACAAGATTAAAAGTAAATAAATCCTTTGGAAAGAGGCAATTACACAACTAAACAAATATGCTTATTAAAAATATACTTAATAATTTAGTTTAAACTAAAATAAACCAACGTAACTGTCTGACGTAAATAAATTAATTTAATAAAAGAAATGGGTAACTGTCAAAATGACGGTTACAAACAAATGAAACAAATTTATATTTTCCAGACAAAATGTATTCCTTATATTTGAGGAGGTGCATTCCAAAACTCGGCTTATTCATATTAGTTGTTTTTGAGCAAAATGTCAAAAACCTTACACGTGAGTACTAACGCATATCAGGCAAACACAATACTTTAAACGAAATATAAAAGCATAAGTAAAACATTTATATACCTTGATTAAAAAGGTATAGCTCCAGTTTAAAATAATTTAAAATTACATACGTACATGCCAAGTTCTGCATGATATAACTAATATAACAGGCAAGTTTTGGAACGATAGTCAATTTGTAAATGAATTTTAAATGAAATAAGGTTAGTTTTAGAATATTATGAACTTTTCAGGGTATAGGGGGATACATGTTAAATGTACAGATACCACTAACTCATTTTTATTAAAAAGTGGATAAGCCGAGTTTTGGAATGGATCTCCTCATTTAAACCTTACTACTTAGGGCCAAAATAATTAAGACAAAAACTTAATTAATATTTTTAAGTATATACAGTGTGTCGAACTTAAGATGAAGACACCCCCATATTTTCACTATTTTTGCACTGTCATACATATTGACGGGTCACCTTTTTTAAGATACTGAATTGAAATCTGAACTTTAATCTCAGCCGAATTTACAAACAGGGCCAGTTACCGATATTTAGCTTCGCGTTAGAGATATCGAAACAAATCATTGGAAAAAGTTGTGCAGAATATTATTCTAACCCCGAATATGACAAAATAAGCATTTTTAATTTTTTTTTTATTTTGGTTACACAAAATTATTACAAGTTAATTTTTTAGGGAGCCAGAAAGTAATAATTTGACACTAAGTAAAGTATTAAATGTCAGATTAAACTTTGAGTTTATTGCGTTAATTTGTAATCAGTGATCCATAATTAAAAAGCCATTGACTTTAAGAGAAAATATCGAAATACATTGCAAATGAAAAAAATATTGGCTGTATTCAAGTTCTATGGACCTGAATCTGGTTATATTCAAGATTTGACCTTTTATATTCGCAGCTCATATGTCCAAATACTTTTCGGCTCTTATACTTGGTCGACCTTGGTCGACCTGGTTTACCTTCATATATGACTATAGTCATTGAATATTTTGTGATGAATAGAAATCCGATATACGATATTCAAGGTGCTGAATACTTCTCCACGGGTTAAGTTTCTTAATACCTCTCTGAAGTATTCGCAGTCAAAGTTTATGTATGTTTTGATTTCTACACCTGAGTCAAGCTGATAAATATTATTCATTCTATCTTACATAGACGTTTTTACCTTTATAGTATTTGAATATTTTGTAATGAATAGGAATTTGATATAGGAAATTTAAGGTGCTGAATACTTCTCAACAGGTCAAGTTCTCAATACCTCTCTGAAGTATTCGCAGTCAAAGTTTATGTATGTTCTGATATCTACACTTGAGTCAAGCGTTCAAATTTTGTGCTGATGAATGTTATTCATTCTATTTCCGTAAAGGTGTTTGGGCCATGTTAAAAATTAATATTAAATGCTCTATACTTAAGTCGAGGATTCAATTTCAAGGATTAAGTGGAATAGAACGTGTCGGAATCGGGAGTAAAAATAGAAACCTCGACACGAGACGGAAGTGACGTCATATACGGAGGAAAAAAAATCAAATATAATGCGACATTGCCACATTTGCAGTGTTGCCAGATTTTGTCAAAATTACCAGAATAAAAAAATATTTTTTTTGCAAATCATAGGTATACTCAATACAATATCAAGCAACACTTTCACAGGTGATAAGTGACAAATGACAGATTTTTTTAATTTAAAACTCACGTAAAAAGCAAAGTAATAGGCAAATAACATTTATTAAGATATTTAAAATAATAATTTAATGTTACGGTTTATTTTGTTTTTCACCTAATTTTCTAAAAGCGTGCCGAAAGTTGCACTTTTACGGTCGCTTACTTTCCGCACGCACGAAATTGCCGAAATTAAATGCGTGCGGATTACTTTGCGCACGTAAGTAGAACAAATAATTATTATGTACTTACTATGCTCCACACAACAAAGTGCTACCACGTGACTTTGATAGAAATAATTAAGGTTAATTTTCTGCCAGTGTCAAGCTAATTTTAACCTATTTTCTAAAAATAATTTTTTGTGTTCTAAATTAAGACCTTTATACAGAAAAAATATATATTGCATTATTTTCGAAAAATAGGACAAAATTAGCTTGATACTGAAAATTAACCTTAATTATTTCTATCAAAGTCACGTGGTGGAACTTGTGTAGAGCATAGTGAGTGTTAAAAGTCATTTTATTCTGTGAAAAGGGAAATTGGATAACGAGCGGGGCAAGTGATCCAACCATTCGAACAAAATAAAAACATTTTTAACATTTACATCAAACAATATTTTATCTACTAACACTATTAAACAGACACTTAAATAAACAATAATAATTATTAGCTACTTTTCGTAACTAACAACAATACACATTGGTTGCCACGTGACTAAGAACAAAGAGCTACTTTATCTTAGATTTGTATGGCTTTAATTTTGAATTTATTAATTATTAATAAATTCAAAATTAAAGCCATACAAATCTAAGATAAAGTAGCTCTTTGTTCTTAGTCACGTGGCAACCAATGTGTATTGTTGTTAGTTACGAAAAGTAGCTGTCAATAACTTATAAAAAAATTTACGATTTTTGATGGATAATCTGGAAGAAAACTATCCAAATGTGTAAATAAATGAAGCAGTTAGTAAGCTACCGAGTTGTTTCCAAAAAGTCCAAGGAATAGTATGCGAAGTGGTACTGCAGTAGTAACACGAATGTTAAGATTAACATACACAACCACTAGTTTTGAATACTTCTGACAAGGATTCTCCGAAAGCTGAATGCTTTCTAAACGCATTTACGTGCTTAATACCGTCAACAAATATTTATTTATCATAACATTGAAAAAAGTCTATACTTCCCACAAGAGTTCAAATCTTCAATTCACTGCTTTGAATACGGCCAATATTTTTTCATTTGCAGTGTAATCCGGTTGTTTGATGATAATGCTCGTAGTAACAGAGAAGTTGCTGCAGAGTTTAACCTAAGACATCCCCAACATGCTCCCATTACTTATGGAAAAGCAGCCATTGTAAATCCTCTTTTTAATGAAACTGGCAGTGTTATTAAAATCCATCGGAATGGTCAACCTCGGCGAATACATCCGCATCTCGAGGACAATATTGGCGGCAAATCGAGCAAATCCATGCATGAGCCTTCGAGATTTATCATCTCAAATGAATATAAGCAAGGATAAAATCAGAAGATGTTTCGTTCGTCACAAGATCAAGCCCTATAAACCAAAGTTCTTGCATACATTGAAAGAATGTGATCAAAATAAAAGATTAGACTATTGTTATTGGGCTCAAGGTAATTTTTTAAATGACCGACATTTTCCAAAGAAGATTATGTTTATTGATGAGACTACATTCACCACTAATGGGGTGGTATCGTCTCAAAGTTGTAGATACTGGGCCAGAGATAATCCTCACTGTGTTATAAATTGTAAAGATCAATATTCCCAGAAAGTCAATGTCTGGTGTGGGATTTTAGGAAACCTAATAATTGGTCCTTTTTTCTTTAATGAATTATTAAATGCTTAATGTGTGACAGGATATGAATCTGCATCTAGATGGTGCATCCATCCACAATTCAAGGATTGTTCGTCAATGGTTGAACCAAAAATTTACCATGCGCTGGATAGTCCTTTTGAACTATGACCGAGTTCTTCCGATATTAAATAATGGTAAAAAATAAAGTTTATAAAACAAGGCCCAGAAATCAAGAAGAACTTTGTACCAGAATAAGGCAAGCTTGTCAAGAAATTAGCATCCCGGAACTTGGACAAGTAACTAAAAATAATCGTAAAAGAATCTAAAAATTTCATAGTTAATTATTTGTTTTTTATTGTTGCATACTTTTTCCTAAATTTAATTAATTATAATAATTATTGATTTGTAATTACCAAACATTCATAAACACTAGTTACTGTTAAATTATTACTTTCCATGGCTCCCTTATTATCAAACTAAAAAATGAACTTGTAATAATTTTGTGTGGACCAAAATAAAAAAAATTAAAAATGCGAATTTTGTTATGAAAATCGATTTCAAATCTGTATTCCTTCAAATATCTAAAATATAGAGGCGACACACTGATTACCAAACATTCATAAACACTAGTTACTGTTAAATTATTACTTTCCATGGCTCCCTTATTATCAAACTAAAAAATGAACTTGTAATAATTTTGTGTGGACCAAAATAAAAAAAATTAAAAATGCGAATTTTGTTATGAAAATCGATTTCAAATCTGTATTCCTTCAAATATCTAAAATATAGAGGCGACACACTGTATATATATATATGTTGTGTAATAATAATTTTAAATTTCGTTAATAAAATTTTAAATCCTGTTAATTAAGTTATATTGGTTTGTTCTAGGTCTCAAGAATCTATAATAATACCAAATTCTCAAAATGCTGCCCCGTCCAAAGGTAAAAACCGTCAGGGAAAATCAGTACGTTTAAACATAAATGCAAGAGAAAGAAGAAGAATGCACGATTTAAATGATGCTTTAGATGAACTTAGAGCAGTTATACCTTATGCCCATTCTCCATCAGTACGTAAATTATCAAAAATTGCCACTTTACTTTTGGCAAAAAACTACATTCTTATGCAAGCTAATGCTTTAGAGGAAATGAAAAGACTTATTGCCTATTTACAAGGTACTGCAGGTGGAGCAGCTATTGTAGCTCCACCTGGATTTGATCTTCAAGGATTTCCTGCAGCCGCGAAATTTTTACAGCAGCAACAGGCTCTTCAATCTGAAAATTCTAGAAATAACGATGGTAATAATACGGGTGATTCATCCTTATAAACCCTAAAGAAATAATAATAATTATTCATAATAATAACAAAATAATTTAATTTAATATCATATGAGTTAAATTCATAACCTAATTTATTAAGCTATTATTAAAGCAATTTAAAAAAGTTAATTTCTTGAAGAAAAAAACAGTCACAAATATATTTAAATAATATTTAATATACTTAAATGTTGATGTATTTCTACCTAAAATTCCACTTGTTTAACGTTGTCATTTTTTTTACAAGGGTAACTATAAAACATAGTAGAACATATATTATACTTGCCCTGGCTGTTAATAAAGCCATATACCAAATTTTAATTAAAATGTTTTTGAACCTAAAGAATATCTTGGGAAAAACCTTACTATATAAGTAACTACAGGTTTCTGAATTAATATTTATTTTGCAGGTTTGTAAGTTACAAGATTTATGTTGATAAACCAATAATTTAATCTTAACCTAGCAAAGTTAGCTATACAAAATAATTAACTTATTGTAAAATTATTTATTGATCATTTTTGTAGGTGTAACAACTCTTGGAAAAGGTGAAGATTATCGATTTAAATTTTCATTTTTTGGGGTTCCGCCCTGCTTGGTTAAAAACTAATTTTTAACAATAATTTTAGTTTTAAAAAATCAAGGATATTCTAGTAAAGTGTAAAGTGCTTTTTATGTTGCCGATATGAGCTGTAAAGAAAAGTTGTTAAGAATTAATATCTAGGCTCAAATACCAAATTTGAAAATCCTCGGCCAACTATGATTTTTCATTTATTTTATCAAGATAGTATACTAGTATACTAGTATACTAAGCTATAGCTTTTTGGTTACAGATACATCAAAAATTTATTGAGAACAGATGTTTCAAATTATTTAAATTAAGAAATAAACAAAAGAAAATGTGAGATATCAAAGATTTACAGTTTTGGACATTTCTATATGCTTAATACGAGCCCTAACCACATAATGTTCGGACACTTCATAATTTACACAGAAATTTTTTTCGTGAATACTATCTCAAAATTATTAGAAGTTATGAAAAATTCAGCTTATTTTGGCATATACCCCTCGAAGCGATTTTTATTTTTAAAAAGTTTACCTTTTATTTTTAGCTTTTAAAAAAAGGCTAACTTTTTAACTTTTTTTTGTATGAGTAAAAAAAGTTATAAATGGACCCATTAAAAAGAGCATAAAATATTATACAAACCCTGAAAATTTGGTAAAAAATAAATAAGTTATAAAAAAGTATAAGTAATTTAAAAATGCTATTTTTAAAGAGTTTTTACAATTTTCTTAGGAAACGGGAGATTTTGCAGATATATATATCGCTATAACTTTCTTATTATTTATACAATTTTTACCAAATTTTCAGGGTTTGTATAATATTTTATGTTCTTTTTAATGGGCCCATTTATAACTTTTTTTACTCATGCAAAAAAAAATTAAAAAGTTAGCCTTTTTTTAAAAGCTAAAAATAAAAGGTAAACTTTTTAAAAATAAAAATCGCTTCGAGGGGTATATGCCAAAATAAGCTGAATTTTTCATAACTTCTAATAATTTTGAGATAGTATTCACGAAAAAAATTTCTGTATAAATTATGAAGTGTCCGAACATTATGTGGTTAGGGCTCGTATACGGACAACAATCTGGATTTTCTGGTGAACTCATGATGATATCAAGCGTGATTTTTTAATCACGCCTGATATAAGTTTAGCACATACTCGCGTGATATTAGCAAAATATGCGCATTCGCACGAGCCCTATGAACGATGAATTTGAATTTAATGGAATGTGGAAGAAAAAGTAATAACTCGAATTAGTAGTTTAATTATAATAAATATTATAATTGAAGGGATAAGAAGCAAAAGGGTACAAAACAAAAAAAGAAAAGTGGAGCTATTAACTAAATTTTTTGCTATACACAAAAGTCTGAATACATTAATCAACATGCAGAACTCGTACAATTTTCACGTTATGAGAACATTTAAAAAAAATTGGATTTCAAAATACCCAATTCTCTACTTAACTTTATTTTTTATGCTAAAATGCACTTGTACCATTTTTCTTCTTACCCCTTTATTTATAATAAATCCCCACTTTAATGACATTGATAATAATTTAATTTAATAATTTAATATATGATGCGGACGCTTTAAAGCCATAGAAAACCCCGGGGGGTCTTTAAAGCTAAGGAAAACATTGGGCGTTATACCTAGCTCTTGTCTTGTATGAAAGAAACACTGACACTAAAATATAACCAAAAATCGTCTTTTTCCTCTCTAACTTTATATTCTCTCTTGTGAGAGAATTGGTATTAAGTTCAATTTTACTCTTACTGCCAGCTACCATTATAAATGTCCAGTGGCTTCAATTAGAAAATCCTAAATCCTAAAACATCAACTAAACTATTTGGATAAATCCCTTAAGACCTTGCTAAAAGGTTAAAGCATATTATCAATAAATACAATCGTATCGTATCGTATTGGCAACTAAATTCAAATTCAAAGTTTGGATACCAAACACTGATGACATAAAAATCATGACACATTTTTATTTATCACCTGTGATATCCGTATGCTATCGCTATGCCAAAAAAATTCAAATCCAAACACTTATTTCTCAAGTGAGATATTCGTATGGCACAGAAATTTAAATCCAAACACTGATTACATAAAATATCATGACATGATTTTCATTTCTCAAGTGTGAAATCTGTATGGAACAAAAATTTAAATTTAAACACTGTTAACATAAAAAATTACAACATGATTTTTATTTCTTATTTGTGATATCCGTACACAGAAAAAAATCTAATCAAAGTACCAAGAACAGCGCTGTCATTGAATGCATTAAAATTGAAGCAATCTAAATTGTTATTTGCTCAATTAATTACTATTAAACCAAAATAGGAAAATATTTTGCCTAAATGTCAAAGAATTTATTAAGTTAAATGTATACATAGTATACATACAATAGTAACGTTATTAAATAAATCAAATTAGTATTTAAGGCAATAAAATTCTAACATTCTAACAAATAAATATCAATAGATTTAGGAGCGATAACTTTTGTTGTTAATTTAAAAACAGTAAACGATTATAAACCAAGTGCTAACTACCTATTGATATTTTAGGAACTGTTATTCAGGAATACGGATTACAAGATCCCATTGGTTTAATGGCTCACCCATTCATGCTATGCTAGCGTTTTTTCTGTGTATGATAACCGTATGACACAAAAATTTACCGGTTGACATTAAAAAAATAAAAAATTTCAGCATTTTTTTGCGAATTTTGAATGAAATTGTTTTAGAATATTTCCAAAATTGAATAGTGATTTTTCTTTTTAAATTCAGATTTTTTTTTTATTTTATTAAAAAATAATAATAATACTAAACTGACTTTAAATTCAGTTTCAGCGGGTGAAAATACATAGGAATATCATGTTTATATTCATAGCGCATACCCACTCTTTTGTGGTCCTGTAAAATAAATAAATAAATAAAATTAAATGTAAAAATAATACACTTTCCGTCAAAATTAACGCAAAATAAGTAAAAAAATTCTAACACTAAAACGCCTTTACCAATCTCTATAAAATTTTGGATAAAAATACTTTAACTTATATCTCAGTTTACGTTTTCAAGGGTTTTTCGAAAAATATCCTTAAAGCCCTTTTATTTAATATTAAAAAAAAATACTCGAAAAAAAACTTTTTTAGGGAATTTTCATCAAATCAAAAAATCGAAATCAAAATCAAAAAAGGGTCATTTTTACCAACTTTGAAGCGCTGTATCTTCGTTACTGTTCGTTTGATTTGTACAAAATTTTCAGGGTATACTAACAAAAATGCGGTCTTTTTTATTTACTTAAAAAAAATTCCCTATAAAAGTTTTTTTTCGAGCGTTTTTTTAATATTAAATAAATGGGCTTTAAAAATATTTTCTCTAAAAACCCTCGAACACGTAAACTGAGATATAAGTTGAAGTATTCTTATACAAAATTTCATTTCATGTTGTAGTTTACATAACAAGAGTGGTAAGTAGCAATTTAAGTACTTGCGGAATGCCCTCAAGGGCGAGTGCCTAACTACGCGAGGAATGTACTATTTTATCTACAATACAGTTCTGAAAAATATTTTTTTATATTTCGTCACCATAGTGTTAGTAATAAACTAAACAAGCAAAAATTTGGAAAATATTCTAAAAACAAATACTTACTAATCCGTAAAAATGCATAAAAAATAATAAAATGTTGTATTTTTTTAAATTTTACCAAAAAGTAGTGGGGGCAGTCTGGTTACAAATTATTTATTATTTTAATGAATTTTAGCAAAAAAATACATAGTATTGTTTCCCTTAAGTTCCACTGATTCGCAACAATATCTTAAAAATAAATAAAATATACTGGTGCCGAACAAACAACTTGGATGGTTTGGCTCGAGGCGATGTTTCGCTTTCATTCCTTTCTTTTTTATTCCATTGTATACAGTGTATAATAAAATATTTAAAAATGTTTAATAAATAATTTTACAATAAGTTGAACAAAGATATCTGCTCACCATTGCTATGAAAACACAAAAACAATTGGTCGTCCAGTGTCATTCACAAAAATATTTTTTTAATGGTATACGCTCTATATTTTTACAATTTAATTTGAAACAAACAGTTAAAATTTCATAACTTCTCTAAACTGAAAAATTGTTTTTTCCAAACCATTAATTTTACTTTTAATGAAATTGTACAGAAGCAACAATTTCCGAAAACATGAAAAGTAGCAAATGTATGCCGAGTAATATGGCAAATACAGGCCCATTTCCATAATAAGTATGGTTTTTCAAAAGTGTGGCTAGACAGGTCACATATCTCAGGTAATCAGGACGGGTATAAATCAACTTTATTAAATTTAACCGTTATAAAACAATTTATTTCAAATGCCCTGGGTAGCGAAATGCAAGTGGATGTGGTATACACAGACTTTTCAAAAGCATCTAATAAAGTCAAATGACGGTTATAAATCCAATTTTTATTCGGCTACATCTGGGGCACCTCAAGGGTCAAACCTTGGCCCCTTGTTCTTTAATTTCTCAATTGTAAAAACTTGTTATTTACCCAAAAATATATAAAATAATCATTTGTCAAAATGACTGCTATACTTTACAAAACGAACTAAATGTACTTAATGAATGGTTAAAAACCATAATTGAATCGTCTAATTTCAAAAGTGGCCATCTCCAATTTTTTTTTAAATGAGTTATTTACACTAATAAAATCGAAATATTACGTAGTATATTAGTGCAAAATTATATCCCAACAAAAACGGCTATTTGCAAGGAAAATAATTCATTAAAGTTTTATGTTAGTTTTAATAACGGCCATCTCCATTGATGTTTTAAGTACAAAAATGTACTTAAAATGCCCATTTCCCTTTTGAAATATATGTTTTTTTAATTAAAACTTAAATCTGGTTACTTATTTTGTAGAAAAAATATTTGTAGTTACCATATGAACAAGTTTTTCAAAATATATTTATTTTTTACCCATTACTGTTTAGAATGTTTTTTTGACGTTTACTTAAAATATTCTTCAAAGGAGATGGCCGCTATTTATTGAAATTAGACGATTCAATTATAATTATTTGTATTAATTATGGAAACTACTTGTATTGTTTTTGTCCTGTTACTAGATTTCTGTTGGGTAATAAAGAAATTATTTATTATAAAAATGTAAAAATATACAGGGTGTCCGTTTAAAACATGGAATTTTTGTGAATATTTTAGAAATGCGGCGTT